ACCGACCGGGTGGCTCAGTTGTGGCCCACAATCGGAAGGTCACGAGTTCAACCCCTGATTGAATTGTTGACTCAGCACAGCCAGGCCGTAGCCATGGAGTCAACATTGGGGGGGACCACATCTTCCAGGGGGTCTGGGGGTCACCCCCCCAGAAGAAAAATATCTAAATTTTAAAACGAATTTCCTGCCTAAAATCTATATTAAAAAAATCACTAACACATAGGATGGACTTTTTTTTACAATAATGTCTAATAGTGTATTGTATTAAATTGCTCTGTTTTTTTTTTTTGAAACCTTTTCTTGTTTCATTGTATGTAATGGCAGGGATTAATAAAGTACAACCATAACCACAATCATACAAACAAAAATCTATTGTCTAGCAATATATTGGGGGGGGGGGGGGCATTTTGAGCATATTTGAATATGGGGGGAGGGGTGTGTCCCCCCAATATCTATTATAATTACGGCCTTGCAGCCCACCATCCATTTCTCCGCGGTTTAATAATAATGAGCACCACTTTACAGGGAAGCCAATAGTGGTTGTCCTATGGAGGGACTCACCCTCACCACAGGATTGTGGGATTTCCAGCATTGGCGTCGGTACGGGATTGGTGTCTGGCTGTAGAACTTTGGGGTATCTGACTCATCCACGGGTGGCTGAGGGTGCCGGTCTGGGACTCCATATGGTCTGTCCATTTTTTCTTCTTCTACTTCTTCTTAAAGCCACAAAAGTTACTATGTTTAACACGTAGGCTTCCGCGACCATTTATGTTGATTACCCTATTAATAACACTGGTCAACAAAAAACAAAATTTCTGGCCTGGACTTTTGCAGCTGTTTTAGACTAATTTCAGGGTGCTGATTCCAAATCTGATCTCAGATTTGCTCTATCACATCTAATTTTATGCTATCGGCATACCCTATTTTCATTGATTTTACCCGAAGTTAACTCTGTCACTTATGATTGCAAGTTGTTGCGAGTCAGTGACTGCTTTAGTGTTAAAATATGGTGCTGTATTTTTAGGATAGTGTGTTTATAATATCATTTTATGTAGATATCCACATTTATTTAATATTATCTTCTGCAGTTTTTATTGAAAATGCAATATTTGATATCTCAAAAACCTAATGTGATAGACAAAAACTGATGCCAGATTTGGAATCAGCACCACAAAATTACATTAAAACCGTTGGAATACCTTATGCCAGAAAAAGTGTGTTGACCAGTGTATAATCCAACAGGTAATGGATATCCATTCTATCTTGATTTGAAGCTTTCGTGACTGCAGGAATCCTTACTCTTTGGTTATTTCGGTAAAGTCACGTCGGTAGAAAATAAAATAAATCACGACATTTCGATCGCAACACAAGCGGTCGTCCTCAGGCGGAAAAAATATAATCCAGCAATTCCATTATATTTTTTCCACTTTACCGAAAGAACGAAAGAGTATATCCATTCTAATTTATATGTATATGTAGTGGTGATAACTACTCGCGGTTCGCAAGCTGTGAGAGAGCAGTTGGTAAACAAGGTTTTCCCGCTCAATCAAACAGTTAGGGTCAAATGGGGTGAGGTAGGATCCAAACGCCAAATTGGGAAGAACCAATCGGAGGGGTCCAAGAGGTGGCCGGGGATTGGTTAACCCGGCCACGAACAGGTATAAAAGCCGGAGCGCTGAGAGCTCTTGGTTAGTTCTGCTACACGAAGACCCAAGTCGGCTGAAGACATCTAGGACCCTGGACCAAGCCCTCCAGCCCGTGTCAGGGCTGGGGCTCAGAGTAACCAGTGGTCATTGGAGATAGGTCCTGGATAGGGCCCTGGCTCCCAGCCTTCCCGCCCTTGTGAGGGCGAAGGTCTCGAGCGACCAGAGGTCGGGGACCCGCCGGGCCAGCGACGGGTCGGTGTGCCTAACCTAGGTCCCAGCCGGAGGACGCTAGGCTAGCGGGGAAGATAGCCGGCAAGTCCGGAGTCTGTAGCTCCTCAGGATAGCGGGTACGGGGACCGTATACCCCTTGTGTGTTAGGTGTAGCAAGTATTGGTGAATAAAAGCGTGTGACCTCTAATAAGTTCCCGTCTCCTTCAAGAACGTTACATATACATTAACCCTCCCCCGTCTAGTCTCCGCACCGGATTCGCTCACAAGTGACGATTCACATTTATTCCTCTATTTAAGGCGGAAACAGGAGGATTTCTCCACAATTCTGTCTGTCGCCTGATGATGCTGGTTTTAATTACCGGCGAAATGTCACAGCTACTCGAATTGTAAATGTCGTGGGTTTACTCTCCAACACACCGGCGTGCTGAACTAGCAACGAAAACATTTCGGTTTAAAGCTTTCGTGACCGCAGGAAACGTCGTGAGAATTTTATGTTTTATTTTTATTATTTTATTATTTCCCTTCTACGTGACTTTACCGAAAGAACCAAGAATAGTAACGAATAGGCATGTTTTGTTACTGTGATAAACCTTCCTAACTGGCTGTGCCGGGTAGTGGCGGGTTTAACGACACATTTATATTGACGCCATCAAACCCAAAAATCATGTGGAACAGTTATTGTGTCAAACATGCGCGTGTCACGGTCATTCAGCACACGAGCAGCTGTTGACACACTGACGATCGGCATGTGGGGGTCAAGTGGACGCTGTCCATAAAGATACGGGGAAAGGTCACGAGGAAAAAAAACTACCTGCAAATAAAGGTCACGAAGAAAGAAAAACGATATGCAAATAATAATTCACACATTTTTAGCGGTTTACGGGATGTCCCGTACAACGATGGAGTATTGCGTGGTCAGGCCTAACCCAGCCATGAATACCCCCTCTGTATTATCACACAGCTCCCATAGATAGACCATTGCGGACCCACGCCACGTGGTTCTTTGGTCGTCTTTGTAGGCACCTCTTCTGGGTTGTAACCTCTGTAAATACATCTCCTGATGCTACTGCTGTTGTGGAGTGACTCATGCGGCCAGCTATGGCTGCAGGGTTTAGTGGTACATGTTGTTTACGTCGTTTATTGTGAAAATTCGGTCACAGTTCCTATGAACTTTTATGGCTTTATTTTGGTGATTTCGAAAAGTTTTTTGCTTTGGCCATGTTTGTTTGTTGTAGTACGGAGTTAGACTGATGGCCTTAATCTAAGTTGTCTTGTGGTTGTTGTTGTTTGACTTGCATCCCACTGGGATTTTTGCACACAGCGTTGGTGTACGGTGCTTTTTCTGCAATATTTTTCTCTCTTTCCTTGGATTTTCTGTTTGCACTTAGTCACATAGTCACTTTAAGATGTTTTCTTGTTCATGTTTTTTGTTTGTTGCGGTTGCACCCGATTCAAGAGCCGAATGGCTCACAGGGATATACCTAATAAATGAAACTGAAAACTGAATTAAGCTTACGTCTAAAGAAACCGCTGCTTACACTTTTGTATCGCCAACACTACTGGTGCTGCTCCCTCGATTGACACCTGTGCCTTGAGCCAGTTCACACCGTTTTCAAGTATTCCGCCTATTAGAACTTAAAACTTTATTTGGCGCTTTCGTGACTGCAGGAATGACTCTTTGGTTCTTTCGGTAAAGTCACGTAGAAAGAGAAAATAATAAATTAAATACTAGCATACGACGTTGCGATTGCAACACAAGCAATCATCATCAGGTATAAATGAAATAGAAAACAAACCTAGTAAACTTAGAAATATAATGTAATACAACACAGACAGTCGGCTAACATAACAGTCAACACCCTACCTGGTTGATTAACGTTCTTCCAAAGTTTGCTACATTTAAGAGAGAGATAAAACACAGAACAGGAGACGCATAGACAGACACGTAAGCAGAGAGAGATAGCACACACAGTGTTTGCCTATGTGTGTGTCTCTCTGTGTGTCTCTCTCTGTGTATCTCTGTGTTATCTCTCTCTGCTTACGTGTCTGTCTGTCTCCTGTTCTGTTTTATCTCTCTCTTAAATTTAGCAATCTTTGGAAGAACGTTAAACAACCAGGTAGAGTGTTGACTGTTAGGTTAGCCGACTGTCTGTGTTGTATTACATTATATTTCTATGCTTACTAGGTTTTGTTTTCTCTTTCATTTATACCTGATGATAATTGCTTGTGTTGCAATCGAAACGTCGTATGCTATTATTTAATTTCGTATTTTCTCTTTCTACGTGACTTTACCAAAGAACCAAAGAGTAATTCGAACTTACTTCGTGTCAACCCTGGGACACCCTTGCGAATGGAATGTTTGCAGCTCATGCGATTTTCCCCATGTGATATGACAATAATGATGTGTTTACACCAGAGGTGGGACAAAGTCATTGTCATGCAAGTCCAAGTCGAGTCTGAAGTCATCAAATTCATGACTCGAGTCTGACTCGAGTCCAAGTCACATGACTCGAGTCCACACCTCAGAGGTGGGACAAAGTCATTGTTATGCAAGTCCAAGTCGAGTCTGAAGTCATCAAATTCATGACTCGAGTCTGACTCCCGAGTCCAAGTCACATGACTCGAGTCCACACCTCTGGTTTACACTATGGGAACCTCATTTGCCAGTAAAAATATAATTGGGGTTTTACCCTTCTATCTGGCAACAAAACTGACACCTTTTTACAAGGAGTCATGTTTGCATAGACCGCAATACCTGCAGTCATAATACAAACAAAAGACATAACTCTGATAATATGCACTGTCCTTGAAGTTGATTGGTCCACACCCGAGACAGCTTTCCTTAGAGCCTAGTCTCACATGGGTTTGACCAGATGACGCCAAAAGGCGCACAACTCAGTTTTGTTGCCAGATAGAAGGGTAAAAAATATGGCCGACTGTGAGGGCGGGCACAAGCCGACGTGAGTAGGTTAAACGTTGAGTTTTATAAGAGCACCACGGGGTGACCAGCCCCTCCCCACCCCTCCCACCCAGCCCCTCCCCACCCTCCCCTCCCCACCCTCCCCTCTCCACCCAGCCCCACCCCTCCCATTTTTGGATGCACGACGGACGGACACAATAATCCTGTGTGCTGGTGGAATCAGGAGGTTCCTACCAGTAACATTAAATTAACAGAAACTCCCAAGTATATTGAGCGAGGCCCTGGCCAGCTAAAAAAAGACATGACTTACGGGACATGTGGAAACATACCTGGCCATGCAGTAAATATATTTTTTATTCACACTTAAAAGTCCCGTACAGACAACAATGTCGTCATAACACGTGGTCCACAGCGTGGCGGCACAGTGATAACACTTGTGCCTCACTGCAAAAGGCGGATTCCTGACTCTGTATGCCACCTTTGTGCGTGGGTTTGTGTGATCTCCCACTCCCCACCCTGTTCTGCAGTGTGAGTGAATGAGTGAGTGGGGTTTGTAAGTTCTAAGTCTCTTCTGCCATGGGGGTTTTCTCTGGTTTTCTGCGGGGAGAAATCACGCTGTTGTAACTGCTATCGACCGAAACATTCCCAAATGCTGAAAAGTGACACTGCAAATTATTTCGATTGGGATTATATAGTAACACAGCAGCATCGCAGCCCCCACTACAAAATACTTGGCAGAACCCTCCTGAGAGAGAGAGTTGAGAATCGGTAAGGCTTTCCTGGGTAAACCAGTAGGTGATATTACTTGTAATAACCTGGCACGCTATGGGGCTCCAAGTAACACAACATGTAGGCCTAACTTAACTTTTTCCAGTAAAAGCCAAGTTGTGCATTTTAAAACGTCAGCTCAATCGCCTCATTGTTTAAATTTTTATCGTGCGCGTACACACGGGCAGTGAAATGCACAGCAAGTTAAGGAAATCAGGAAAAAAATGTACACTTGATGTTTGTAATCAATATAACAAAAGAAACTAGATTTTAACATTTTTCCCAATCGACAAAATATCACATGCCTCTTTTTCAGAAAAAAATTAACGAAGCCTTTGTCGTCTGTTGCGGATAATCCACCTCCTACACCACCTCCGCCCTCTTGTGCTGCGTCTTCCTAACGACTGAATCGAGACCCAAGCCCGTGCCAAAGCAGACCAGCAACGGCCCACCGATTTCAAACCCACCGATTTCAAACCCGAGCTAAGCCTTGCGATTTCCGTGGCCTTGACCCGTCTTAACCCAATGTTCCGCGCTCTTCCAATCCCCTACACAGGCGTAATTGACTAAATACGTTAACACGGTTTCGTTGTATCCTAGGGTTAGCGGACGCTGGCGGAAGATACATTTTAAAAAAATTTGCTTGGTAATTTTTTTGCTTAGTAATTTTTTAGCACGGTTATTTTTTTGTAACAAAAATACGGTCCTGAGGTTGACCTGTACATGAGAGGATGCAAGTGACAGCTGATCCCATTTTCCACGTTGACCCCTCACCCTCCCGTCCCCCGGTAAGGCTTGTATGCGAATCCGGGCCCAGCCTCAGTGGCTCTGTTATTGGTGCCAGCTCCTTATAGTGAGCGTGGAAATGCGTCAGCTCCTTCTGTCCACGGCGTGCCACGGTTGCGAGATGTTAGCTACCTCGCCTTGTGTACAGGAGGTTGTGGGTTCGATCCCAACTCCGACGCCGGCATATTTGGAGTTTGCGTGTCTGTCTCCCCGTGGCCGCGTGGATTTTTCTCCGCGGCCTCCGGTTTTTCCCTTCACATTTAGAATCAACATCGCACATTTAGAGTATTTGGCTGCTGTAAATTTCCATGCGATAAGCCGCTTCGTTGAGCTATCATCTGCGAGAGCCTGGTCGCTTCTGAAACAAAGTATATACAGCTCAGTGGGCCTTACCTGGTCAAATAAAAAAGTGTAGTTTTAGTTTATAGGCACCTGTGGTGACGCAGTGAGTCTGGGCCCTGCCAATGCCAAGCTGCCACCTGAGGCTGTGTGGGTGGCTGCATCCGAACTCCTCCAGCCCCCCCCCCGCCCCCCCCCCACGCGCGATATACGTTCAGTCGGAGGAATCCGAACTGCTCTGCTTCGACTTCCGGCGCTTGTGCTTTCTTTTATCTTTTTTTTCCTTCATCTTTTTCTTTTTCTTCTTCTTTTCCTTCTTCCTCCTCTTTTTCCTGTCTTCCCGAGACGAGTCGGAGCTGCTGCTGCTCCCCGTCGTGGACTCCTCCAAGAGCCTCTTGAGCTGCTCCAGCCTGCGAGCCGCGTAACGTGGCGCGCGTGAGCGAGGAAGTGAACGAAATTTCTATTTAAAGCTTTCGTGACTGCAGGGATTCATCTTCTTGGTTCTTTCGGTAAAGTCACGTAGAATGGAAGTAATAAAATAAAAAAATAAAACATAATAAAACAAAATAAGAAAATAATATAATAAAGTAATATTTTATTATGTTTTATTTTTATAATTTTATTATTTCCATTCTACGTGACTTTACCGAAAGAACCAAGAAAAATAAAAAAAAGTGAACGAAAGTTGACCGGCGAGCCGCGCACGGAGCAGGGGTCACAGGGCGACCTTGACCGGGGTCACGGTGGCCTAGAGGTCACTCCCAGCGCACGCCACTCGCCTCCCTCCTTGGCACTCGATATTAACCAACTGGAGCTATGCACTTTTAAATCCTAGATTTGAAGCTTTAGTGACTGCAAGGATTCATATTCTTAGGTTTTTTCGGTAAAGTCACGTAGGTAAAAAATAAAAATTACATCGTCTAGATTGAAAACTCATTTTTTTAGAACTGCTTTTTGTCTTTTAGTTTGTTGTCCTTCCCCCACACCTCCGATTATCACGGTTGGCTACGCACGGTGTGAAAGAAGTTCAACATACGTACGTACGTGAGAGTGAGAAAGCGCTGACTATGCCGATTGCGACAGATTTGTAAAGCTCCAAACCCCACCGAATTGTGAGGTGGCCGGAAGATGACGACACCATCAAGTGATTTCGCGACCCCGTCCGTGTAGCGATTTGAGTGTCATCTCCCTGCGTGCGTGGCTACGTGTAATTCCAGTGGAGTCATTTGCAGTGTAATTAAAAAATTTGCCGAATCTACAAATTGGCCTACTCTTGCGGATGACATTTGAGGCTCTTTCACGTCCACAGCGAGCGAGGCAGGTGGCACGGAGTATTTATGTTGACGGTTAATGCACACCACCGCAGTATAAACCAGGGCGGCCGCTGGATTACCGTAGTAGCCTCCGTAACAAGCGGCGACCGCCCATCATCATCATCGCAATGGACATTCATGAACGCGGACATCTACTGGGACATCTGTGAAAAAGAGTCGGATTCCTCCAGTGCGAATAAATATTCATTCAGTGAGCAGGGTCTGCCGGCGGCGGGAGTGTGCATCGGGCTGGTACCTCAGCTGCTTCTCCTGCTGCTTGTTCTCCCGCGTGATGTCGTACATGGGGTCCTCGTGCGCCTAACGCAACGGAAACGGCGACATTTCAAAAGGCAAAGCAGCAGTTTAGCTGAAGTTCGTTGTGTTTTTTACATAAATTGTATTATTATTCTGTATTGTCTCGCGATAACGGCAGTTGTTTTTGCCTTTGGTCATTGCCGTGAGCAAGGTCACAATCTCTTGCAACCGAGATTCTTGAGTCCCTCAACTGGTTAAACAAAACAAACTTGGAATTGTAACTTTGTAGCAGGCGAAAGCCATGTCGTCAGGCGAAGGGTCAACCCTCCCTAGAGTATCGTCTTCTTTTCTCACACTAACCTTTACAATTAATGGATGGTAGGGAAAACCGAAGCTACGTTGATCAAGAGGCGCGTGTTCGCGACACGCCCTTGGAAGCTAACATGTAACATACTCTTAGTTCTTTCGGTAAAGTCACGTAGGTAAAAAAATGACCATCTCACAACTCCTCCTCTCCCGTGGCCCATCTTGGCTCCTCCCCCCTTAACCAGTATATAAGGTCGTGCCTCTTGGGACTTCTCTTCACTTGATACAGATGTTTTGCTGTGACGGTTTCACCTGAAGACGGAAGCTTGTGTTGCCTCCGAAACGTCGTGATTTTATTGTTTTATTTTTATTAATTTTAATTTACTTTTTTTACCTACGTGACTTTACCGAAAGAACTAAGAGTATGAATCCTTGCAGTCACAAAAGCTTCAAATCTAGAATTAACATGTAACATTTGGCGAAGAGTCAGGAACAAGTCATCGACGAAGATTCATGGGGGGGCGCTGCATTCATTAATTCTTTGACGAATGTTCGAGTTTTACGAGGCCTATTGTTTAACGAGCTGAGAACTCGTGCGACCAGGATCAGTCTGATTTGCAAGCATGGTCTGGGCTCTGTACATGGTCACAGTGAGCTTTCAATGATGATGGAAATGATAGAGATGAGGGTGGTGGTGATGGAGATGGTGATGAGGATTATGGTGGTGATGTTGATGATCATGATGATGCTGATGGAGATGAGAATGGTGGTGATGCGGACATTACTGGTGGTGATGATGATGATAGTGATGGAGATGAAGATGGCGATGAGGATGGAGATCCGTGGTGGTGATGGAGATGAGGATGGTGATGGTAATGGTTGAGGATGGTGGTAATGACGATGGTGATAATGATGATGCAGATGATGATGGTAGTGGTGGAGATGAGGATGGAGATCCGTGGTGGTGATGGAGATGGTGATGGTAGTGGTTGAGGATGGTGGTAATGATGATGCAGATTATGATGGTAGTGGTGGAGATGAGGATGATTTACAAGAGAAATGAGGATAATGGTACTGATGAGGATGATAGAGATGAGGATGATGGTGATGATGGTCTGGAGGACCACCTACCACACGAAACTGCTCCAGCCGCTGGTTTCCGGAGCTGAAGTAAGGGCACTCGCGATCGCCCGTGCGGTGCCCGTACTGCTTACACCGCCAGCCTGCGGTGCCACACGCGCACGCCGCAAGGGCTTCTGGGACCCACGCAGGGAGCTGCCTTTCGATTGGTGGATATCTGCCCGGCACCGATACAGTACGATTCCGATTTTGTAGCGGGAATACGCGATGTGTAAAAAGAGTCGTATATATCGTAGAAAATATACTCTCTATATATATATGCTGTACACCGTGTATTGATATATATATCACTTTGCAAGAAGAGTTCGATATTCGCAGAGGTACTATGAAGAAGGACAGTTGGCCAGAGAGCGCGTATTTGTACGGTCAATACACATCGCAGTATTAATCGGGGCGGCCTGCCGCATTTGAACCGCGAGCCTCTGCAACAAGCGGCAGACGTGCTATCGCCAGGCCGTGTGTCACCACCCTGAAAGTTCCACGCCTCGAGCATAAAGGCAAAGATACACCCCCCCCCAACTCCCGTATAGCCTGAACAGACTGTCAGGGCAATCGTTGTTAGGCGAGCACCTCCCGTGAAGGCCTTTGCGTCAAGTTCATTTTACTTTCTCCCGTACCTCCGATTGGCACGGTCGGCTAAGTACGCTTGCGAATGAAGTTCCGACGTACGCACGCGCGCACATACAAGGCTGGCACGGCGCACGCGAGGGGGTGGGGGCGGCCGGGGCAACTCACACTGCATCACCTTCACCTCCTTTCCAAGCGGCATCCAGAGGCCCTTGGAGGGGGCGCTGGCGAGGAAGTCGCGTGCGTTCTCATTGCCCGGCAGGTCCGGGATGCAGTCCTCGGGCTTGTCATCGTTTTCCTGCGCCAACGGTCGGGGGTGGGAGGTGGGGGGGGGGGGGGGGGGGTGGCGGAGGCCACGGTAACAAACGAGAAATTTGTGATAAATGGTTTTTTACCCTTTTATCTGGCAACAAAACTGACACCTTTTGGGTAAAAAAACAGTTATCATATTTTTTACTGGCAAATGAGGTAGCAATGGTGTAAATGCTTACCCCGAGCTCTCATACTCTGATGGTGCATTGTCTTTGAGTTGTGCGCCTTTTGGCGTCATCTGGTCCAACACCATGTGAGACTAGGCTCTAAGGAAAGCTGTCTCGGGTGTGGACCAATCAACTTCAAGGACAGTGCATACATTATCAGAGTAATGTTTTTTTATTTGCATTATGACTGCAGGTATTGTGGTCTAAGCAAACATGACTCCTCGGAAAAAAAGGTGTCAGTTTTGTTGCCAGATAAAAGGGTAAAAAAACAATCATCATATTTTTTACTGGCAAACGAGGTACAAATGGTGAAAAATCTGTGCCCGAGGATTCGGTTTTCCGCGGTGGCATTGCCACTGCCGCAGGGGTTAGCTATCGCCGCTGCCACCTTGCGGCAATGTGCAAGGAGATAATGCGGCCGTGTCTCTTTTATGGCCGTGTCTCGCCAGCGTTGGAACGGAGTACGCCAAAGGGGCGAACGTGTTAAGTTTGTTGACCTTCCCCCCCCCCCCCTTCCCACATCCGCTTGGTACGGTTGGCTACATATGGTGCCAAAGAAATTCAACACTTATCCATACAAAAGACAAAGATTCCTCAGACTTTTAACAGAATGTTAGGGCAGGAGCTGTTAGTGACTATCTATGAAAGCAGACACGGCATACAAGGCGGTGGTGTAGCGGGTGGGAGGGGGGGTGCTGGGTGGGGAGGGGCTGGTCAACCCGTGGTGCCCTTATAAAACTCAACGTTTAACCTACTCACGCCGGCTTGTGCCCGCCCTCACAGTCGGCCATATTTGCAGAATACACCACGCCGCCGTTGACCCTGCAGGCCATTGACCGAGCAACTCAACGTTCCTACCAGCTCCCTCCGCAGAAATGTGTTACTGGTTCTTCATGTTCTGCAGATGTAGATGCCACCACCGCCATCTATTGCACGGTGGTTGAACTTACGACTCTCGGTCCGAACAGGCAACTGGACATACGGACGAGATTTGTTCGTATCTCTGAAAGTTCATAAGTCAAACATTCGGAAGTAGAGCAGTCCCTGTATTATCCGCTCGACATCTCTCTGGGTCTCTGTGTTGCGTGAAGAAAGGGCAATTGGTCACGGAGATCGCCTGTTCAACACTCTTCCTGTGAAGGCCGCACGGATGTTACCGACGATGAACGGGTGAGTATCGAGACATCTCCGAGTGGTGCAGCAGGGCCACTCACTTTGATGAGACTGGGAGGAGGCTTTTCGTAGCTTGACAGGAAGACAAAACGACAGCGGCACAATTAAAAGTTGCAGAGACAAGCAGCAGGTAACATCCCGAGCGTGTTTCAATGCTGGTAACTGATCCACAATTATTATGATATTATTACACTCGTTCACCAGAGGTCGCAACCGGGTACCCGATACCCGTACCCTACCCGATACCCGGCTACCCGTACCCGGCCGGGTACGGGTACGGGTACCCGTTTGCGACCCTGGTGCGGCCGGGTACGGGTACGGGTAGGCCGTGAGTCACTGGTGAGTAACCGTTTGTCACTCATTTCGGGTAGGGTTCGGGTACGGGTAGGGGTAGGGAACGGGTACCCATTTGCGACCCTGGTGCGGCCGGGTACGGGTACGGGTAAGGAATCAAAACCCGTTTGCGACCTCTGTCGTTCACCCAGCAAAGCCTTGCCGAGTGACTCTTTCGGGAAGTTTCCTGCCAAGTTTTTGGCGCTGATCGTGATGAGCACGTGGCGGTGGAATGGTGGAGGTGTTGGGAAGCGATTGCAGGTGGAACCGGGAGCACGTGGAGTGGTGGAGCAGTTGGGAGTGATTGGTGGAGCATGTGGAACTTGAGCACGTGGAGCAGCTGGGAGTGATTGGCAGAGGTCGCAACCGGGTACCCGATACCCGTACCCTACCCGATACCCGGCTACCCGGCCGGGTACAGGTATGGGTACCCGTTTGCGACCCTGGTGCGGCCGGGTACGGGTACGGGTAGGCCGTGAGTCACTGGTGAGTCACCGTTTGTCACTCATTTCCCAACGTCTTGTCTCTTCTCACAATTCAAGTTCCTAGAATCAACCCACCCGCGCCTGCAACATGGCTTCATCCCAGAGGTCGCAATCGGGTACCCGTACCCTACCCGATACCCGGCCGGGTACGGGTAGCCGGGTATCGGGTAGGGTGCGGGTACCCATTTTCGACCCTGGTGCGGCCGGGTACGGGTAAGGAATCAAAACCCGTTTGCGACCTCTGGTGATTGGTGAGGCATGTGGTGCATTTGGAGTAATGGAGCACGTGGAGTGGAGCTGCTGGGAGTGACTGGTGGAGCACGTGGCGCACGTGGAACTGGAGCACGTGGAGCAGCTGGGAGTGATTGGTGAGGCACGTGGTGCACGTGGAACTGGAGCACAGTGGAGCAGCTGGGAGTGATTGACAGGTGGAGGCCGTGACGCTCACAAGGTCTCCACGTGCTTGAGCTGCTGCACGTCGTCGTGTCCGCGCCGCTGCAGGCGTTCCATGAGGGCGGCGTCCGCGCTGGAGTCGCTCCCACGACGCCGCTTCTGCCGATCCTTGCTGGTCCGCGGCATGGCGGGTCTGCGTCATCAACAACAACAACAAGAACCACAACAACAACAACATTAAACGCGGCCGCCACTCATCGGCGTCTCTCACGGCATGGGACGAGCTGTTAACTACAACAGCTGCCCCCGTGTTCTCTGCGAGTGCACAACACGGGGCGTTCTGTGCGTGCGCCACATGTATACACCACGTGTGTACACCACGTGTGTACTCTACGCACACTCCACGTGTACTCTACGCACACACACTCCCCATGTATACACCACGTGCACTCTACGAACACTCCCCGTGTATACACCACGTGTACACACCACGTGTACTCTACGCACACACCCCGTGTACACACCCCGTGTACACACCAAGTGTACACACGCCGTGTACACACTCCGTGTACACACCCCGTGTATACACTCCGTGTACACACCACGTGTACACACCCCGTGTATACACTCCGTGTACACACCCCCCCCCTGTACACACCCCGTGTACACACTCCGTGTACACACCACGTGCTCACTCCCCCTGTACACACCACGTGATCACTCCCCCTGTACACACCACGTGCTCACTCCCCCTGTACACACCACGTGACACTCCCCCTGTACACACCACGTGCTCACTCCCCTGTACACACCACGTGCTCACTCCCCTGTACACACCACGTGCTCACTCCCCCTGCACACACCACGTGACACTCCCCCTGTACACACCACGTGATCACTCCCCCTGTACACACCACGTGACACTCCCCCTGTACACACCACGTGATCACTCCCCCTGTACACACCACGTGATCACTCCCCCTGCACACTCCCCCTGTACACACCACGTGACACTCCCCCTGTACACACCACGTGATCACTCCCCCTGTACACACCACGTGACACTCCCCCTGTACACACCACGTGACACTCCCCCTGTACACACCACGTGACACTCCCCCTGTACACACCACGTGACACTCCCCCTGTACACACCGCGTGACACTCTCCCTGTACACACCACGTGACACTCCCCCTGTACACACCACGTGACACTCCCCCTGTACACACCACGTGACACTCCCCCTGTACACACCACGTGACACTCCCCCTGTACACACCACGTGCTCACTCCCCCTGTACACACCACGTGACACTCCCCCTGTACACACCACGTGCTCACTCCCCCTGTACACACCACGTGACACTCCCCCTGTACACACCACGTGATCACTCCCCCTGTACACACCACGTGACACACTCCCCCTGTACACACCACGTGACACTCCCCCTGTACACACCACGTGACACTCCCCCTGTACACACCACGTGTCACTCCCCCTGTACACACCACGTGACACTCCCCCTGTACACACCACGTGATCACTCCCCCTGTACACACCACGTGATCACTCCCCCTGCACACTCCCCCTGTACACACCACGTGACACTCCCCCTGTACACACCACGTGACACTCTCCCTGTACACACCACGTGACACTCCCCGTGTACACACCACGTGACACTCTCCCTGTACACACCACGTGACACTCCCCGTGTACACACCACGTGACACTCCCCCTGTACACACCACGTGACACTCTCCCTGTACACACCACGTGACACTCCCCGTGTACACACCACGTGACACTCCCCCTGTACACACCACGTGACACTCTCCCTGTACACACCACGTGACACTCCCCCTGTACACACCACGTGACACTCTCCCTGTACACACCACGTGATCACTCCCCCTGTACACACCACGTGACACTCCCCCTGTACACACCACGTGACACTCCCCCTGTACACACCACGTGATCACTCCCCCTGTACACACCACGTGACACTCCCCCTGTACACACCACGTGACACTCCCCCTGTACACACCACGTGACACTCCCCGTGTACACACCACGTGCTCACTCCCCCTGTACACACCACGTGACACTCCCCCTGTACACACCACGTGACACTCCCCCTGTACACACCACGTGACACTCCCCCTGTACACACCACGTGCTCACTCCCCCTGTACACACCACGTGATCACTCCCCCTGTGCACACCACGTGACACTCCCGCTGTACACACCACGTGACACTCCCCCTGTACACACCACGTGACACTCCCCCTGTACACACCACGTGACACTCCCCGTGTACACACCACGTGACACTCCCCCTGCACACACCACGTGACACTCCCCCTGCACACTCCCCCTGTACACACCACGTGATCACTCCCCCTGTACACACCACGTGACACTCCCCCTGCACACACCACGTGACACTCCCCCTGCACACTCCCCCTGTACACACCACGTGACACTCCCCATGTACACACCACGTGACACTCCCCCTGCACACACCACGTGACACTCCCCCTGTACACACCACGTGCTCACTCCCCCTGTACACACCACGTGACACTCCCCCTGTACACACCACGTGACACTCCCCCTATACACACCACGTGATCACTCCCCCTGTACACACCACGTGCTCACTCCCCCTGTACACACCACGTGACACTCCCCCTGTACACACCACGTGACACTCCCCCTGCACACACCACGTGACACTCCCCCTGTACACACCACGTGACACTCCCCCTGTACACACCACGTGACACTCCCCCTGTACACACCACGTGACACTCCCCCTGCACACACCACGTGACACTCCCCCTGCACACACCACGTGACACTCCCCCTGTACACACCACGTGACACTCCCCCTGTACACACCACGTGACACTCCCCCTGTACACACCACGTGACACTCCCCCTGCACACACCACGTGACACTCCCCCTGTACACACCACGTGCTCACTCCCCCTGTGCACACCACGTGACACTCCCCCTGTGCACACCACGTGACACACCCCCTGTACACACCACGTGACACTCCCCCTGTGCACACCACGTGATCACTCCCCCTGTGCACACCACGTGACACTCCCGCTGTACACACCACGTGACACTCCCCCTGTACACACCACGTGACACTCCCCCTGCACACACCACGTGACACTCCCCCTGCGCACACCACGTGATCACTCCCCCTGTGCACACCACGTGACACTCCCGCTGTACACACCACGTGACACTCCCGCTGTACACACCACGTGACACTCCCCCTGTACACACCACGTGACACTCCCCCTGTACACACCACGTGACACTCCCCCTATACACACCACGTGACACTCCCCCTGTACACACCACGTGACACACCCCCTGTACACACCACGTGATCACTCCCCCTGCACACACCACGTGCTCACTCCCCCTGTACACACCACGTGATCACTCCCCCTGTACACACCACGTGACACTCCCCCTGTACACACCACGTGACACTCCCCGTGTACACACCACGTGCTCACTCCCCCTGTACACACCACGTGCTCACTCCCCCTGTACACACCACGTGACACTCCCCGTGTACACACCACGTGCTCACTCCCCCTGCACACACCACGTGCTCACTCCCCCTGTACACACCACGTGATCACTCCCCCTGTACAAACCACGTGACACTCCCCCTGTACACACCACGTGCTCACTCCCCCTGTACACACCACGTGCTCACTCCCCCTGTACCCACCACGTGACACTCCCCCTGTACACACCACGTGACACTCCCCCTGTACACACCACGTGACACTCCCCCTGTACACACCACGTGCTCACTCCCCCTGTACACACCACGTGACACTCCCCCTGTACACACCACGTGACACTCCCCCTGTACACACCACGTGCTCACTCCCCCTGTACACACCACGTGACACTCCCCGTGTACACACCACGTGCTCACTCCCCCTGTACACACCACGTGACACTCCCCCTGTACACACCACGTGCACACTCCCCCTGTACACACCACGTGATCACTCCCCGTGTACACACCACGTGACACTCCCCCTGTACACACCACGTGACACTCCCCCTGCACACACCACGTGCTCACTCCCCCTGTACACACCACGTGACACTCCCCCTGCACACACCACGTGCTCACTCCCCCTGTACACACCACGTGACACTCCCCCTGTACACACCACGTGCACACTCCCCCTGTACACACCACGTGACACTCCCCCTGTACACACCACGTGACACTCCCCCTGTACACACCACGTGACACTCCCCGTGTACACACCACGTGACACTCCCCCTGTACACACCACGTGCACACTCCCCCTGTACACACCACGTGATCACTCCCCGTGTACACACCACGTGACACTCCCCCTGTACACACCACGTGCTCACTCCCCCTGTACACACCACGTGACACTCCCCCTGTACACACCACGTGACACTCCCCCTGTACACACCACGTGACACTCCCCCTGTACACACCACGTGCACACTCCCCATGTACCACGTGCTCACGCCCCCTGCACACACCACGTGACACTCCCCCTGTACACACCACGTGACACTCCCCCTGTACACACCACGTGACACTCTCCCTGTACACACCACGTGCTCACTCCCCCTGTACACACCACGTGACACTCCCCCTGTACACACCACGTGTCACACCCCCTGTACACACCACGTGACACTCCCCCTGTACACACCACGTGCTCACTCCCCCTGTAAACACCACGTGCTCACGCCCCCTGTACACACCACGTGATCACTACCCGTGTACACACCACGTGACACTCCCCCTGTACACACCACGTGACACACTCCCCGTGTACACACCACGTGCTCACTCCCCCTGTACACACCACGTGACACTCCCCCTGTACACACCACGTGCTCACTCCCCCTGTACACACCACGTGACACTCCCCCTGTACACACCACGTGACACTCCCCCTGTACACACCACGTGACACTCCCCCTGCACACACCACGTGCACACTCCCCCTGTACACACCACGTGACACTCCCCCTGCACACACCACGTGACACTCCCCCTGCACACACCACGTGCTCACTCCCCCTGTACACACCACGTGACACTCCCCCTGCACACACCACGTGCTCACTCCCCCTGTACACACCACGTGACACTCCCCCTGTACACACCACGTGCTCACTCCCCCTGTACACACCACGTGACACTCCCCCTGTACACACCACGTGATCACTCCCCCTGTACACACCACGTGCTCACTCCCCCTGTACACACCACGTGACACTCCCCCTGTACACACCACGTGCTCACTCCCCCTGTACACACCACGTGACACTCCCCCTGTACACACCACGTGACACTCCCCGTGTACACACCACGTGACACTCCCCCTGTACACACCACGTGCATACTCCCCCTGTACACACCACGTGACACTCCCCCTGTACACACCACGTGATCACTCCCCGTGTACACACCACGTGACACTCCCCCTGTACACACCACGTGACACTCCCCCTGTACACACCACGTGCTCACTCCCCCTGTACACACCACGTGACACTCCCCCTGTACACACCAAGTGACACTCCCCCTGTACACACCACGTGACACTCTCCCTGTACACACCACGTGCTCACTCCCCCTGTACACACCACGTGACACTCCCCCTGTACACACCACGTGACACTCCCCCTGTACACACCACGTGACACTCCCCCTGTACACACCACGTGTCACACCCCCTGTACACACCACGTGACACTCCCCCTGTACACACCACGTGATCACTCCCCCTGTACACACCACGTGATCACTCCCCCTGTACACACCACGTGTCACACCCCCTGTACACCCACGTGATCACTCCCCCTGTACACACCACGTGACACTCCCCCTGTACACACCACGTGCTCACTCCCCCTGTACACACCACGTGACACTCCCCCTGTACACACCACGTGACACTCCCCCTGTACACACCACGTGACACTCCCCCTGTACACACCACGTGACACTCCCCCTGTACACACCACGTGATCACTCCCCCTGTACACACCACGTGACACTCCCCCTGTACACACCACGTGATCACTCCCCCTGTACACACCACGTGCTCACTCCCCCTGTACACACCACGTGACACTCCCCCTGTACACACCACGTGACACTCCCCCTGTACACACCACGTGACACTCCCCCTGTACACACCACGTGCTCACTCCCCCTGTACACACCACGTGACACTCCCCCTGTACACACCACGTGCTCACTCCCCCTGTACACCCCACGTGCACACTCCCCCTGTACACACCACGTGTCACTCCCCCTGTACACACCACGTGACACTCCCCGTGTACCCCACGCGGCGTCTTCCCCCGTGGTGACTCCGCAACGCGAGTGACGCCGCAGCGCGGAGTCGTCCGTAGCTGCCACGCGCTTCCGCTTCCGCCCGTGGCCACGCCCCCGCCCGTGACCACGCCCCCCGTGGCCACGCCCCCGCCCGTGACCACGCCCCCCGCGGCCACGCCCCCGCCCGTGGTCACGCCCCCCCGTGGCCACGCCCCCGCCCGTGACCACGCCCCTCCGTGGCCACGCCCCCCGTGGTCACGCCCCCCGTGGTCACGCCCCCGCCCGTGGCCACGCCCACAAGGCGCAGACAAAGGTCCCCCGGAAAGGGCGACCCACGCTGCCCGGCGCAAGTGCTGAGAGCGAGAACTTTATAAGCCTTTAGGGCCGTCCATAAATGACGTCACGCATCTGGGGGGGGGGGGGTCAGACATTTGTGACGATGTGTGACAAGAGGGGGGGGGGGGTGAGAAATGTGACGTCACATGAAAATGCGCAACTTTAAATAAATATAGACAACACGTTCTACTTAATTAAATAGACTTTTTAATAAATGTTTTCTCCTACAACATCAGAGTGCAGCGCTACATTAAACACGCACTACAATGACAATAGTTTAAAGCGATTTGAAGCATGTTTTTTTTGCGGGGGGGGCAGAGCTTTGTGACGTCATATTTGAGAGGGGGGGGTCTGACTTTTTGTGACGTCGTGTGACGAGGGGGGGGGGGTCAAAAATCGTTCAAAATCGCGTGACGTCATTTATGGCCGGCCCCTTGTGTGTCTCCCTTGTGATGGGACTCTGTAGGATGAACGTTGAGATTTCTAAGGGGCACGAGGTGACCAGTAAGGTCTGAATTGGTCTGTAACAAGGTAGGGCACTGATAAGGGGTTGACAGGTATGAAAGCGACGTTTCGGGCAATGCCCCTTATTAATCGCACACACAGAAAGGCCAGAAAGAGAGAGAGAGTGGATAATACGAGTAGGAGATTGCACATTGGCTGAAACGTCGGCAATATATAAAAAAAATCTGAAGTTGTATTTATTCAGGCCTGTGTACTACTGGCAACGCAGCAGCATGGGCAAATCATTTGTTGAATTTATCCAGATGGTGGGGCTGGCGAGTTACTGCGCGGATAACCACCGAGGTCACAATGACAAAGATCCCCCGCGTAGCCTTTAACAGACTGTCGGGGCAAGTGCTGTCAGCGAGCTCCAATAAAGGCCGCAACTGCACAGGAGGGGTTGGTGTGTAGGTCAACACCACGTCCGACCGCCTTTGTTTCCCTTGTGCTGACGTTTATACACCGCACCATGTACTCATTTGAGGCTGAGTCGACCTGGGGCCGGTTCACATATTCGGAGTCGCAGTGCGATGCGCTAACCGCTGCGCCACCGCTCCCCACACGACACAAGGTACAATACAACGATCCGCTGTTTTGTACGTATGTTGAACTTCTTTCGCACCGCACGTATCGGAGGTGCAGGGGCAAGACGACACATTAAACACAAACAGCAGTTTTAAAGAAATGAGTTCGTCAATCTAGACGATCGTTTAAAAGTGCATAGCTCCAGTGGCTTCCTAACGTCGGAAGGAAGAGCGTTCCAGACGGCCGCAGTATACATTAAACTAAGGTGACCCTACACCAATAACAAAATATAACTTAATGAGGGATGACATACTCAAGGAAAAGTTAAAGGGGGGGAGTGGGGAGTCTTGCAGAGTTTCCTCAACTGATCTTCATGGGTACCAAATAATACAAACTGGCCGGGCAATTAAATGTTTTTATTTCTGGGACACTATTTTTGTCCAGGCGTATTACTGGGATGTTGGCTATCAACAACAAGGCAACTCCTATGACTAATTGGGAATGGGACGCAAGCGTAGGATTGATCACCCTGTCGCTGGCCGCCTTTGGGGAGGGTGTATAGTATGAAAGGCCGAAACACCCTAGGAACCAAAGGGTCACTACTGACGATGCGCTCCCCAAATTTCACCAGGCTCACTGTTCATGAACTCTTGGAAGTGCTTGCACAAAGGATAGTAACATCTCATCCTGTGTTCTTTGGAATCTTAACTCCGCGACTGGGGTACCAATCAATCCGAAATCGGTGGTGCCACTCCGCGATGTAGAAACCCCAAACATCAGCGTAACAAAATCCGTTATCGAAAAATTTAACTTTGAAGAGTGCATCGTGTACAGCTCGTCGAGATGAGTCGATTGGCACGTTCTGTTTACGTGACAACCCTTACTAGTTGGCTATGTCGGGTGGTGGCGGGTTTAACGACACAACATTTATATATTTCTTCGATCTAACCCCGCAAAATAAAATTTTATTATGGATCATATTGGTCGCGAAAGCCTACGTGTTAAACAACTTACTTTGTTTAATCTAAACCTACGTATTTATTAGCATTTAATATTTTTATTTTTATTATTGAGAATCAAAGGGGTGAAAGGCTGCAGTAAAGGGTTAAGAACCACCGCACCACGAGGCAACCCGTTCCATAGTCTTGGAGATGCACTGGCAAAATATCTGATCAACCCCAGTAAGGGGCCGTCCATAAATGACGTCACGCGATTTTGGACGATTTTTGACCCCCCCCCCCTCGTCACACGGCGTCACAAAAGGCAGGCCCCCCCTCAAATATGACGTCACAAAGCTCTGCCCCTTCCAACCCCAAAAAAATTAAACATGCTTCAAATCTATTTAAACTATTGTCATTGTAGTGCGTATTTAATGTGGCGCTGCACTCTGATGTTGTAGGAGAAAACATTTATTAAAAAGTATTTTTAATTAAGTAGAACGTGTTGCCTTTATTTATTTAAAGTTGCACATTTTGATGTGACGTCACCTTTCTCAAACCCCCCCCCCCTCGTCACACATCGTCACAAATGTCTGACCCCCCCCCCGCCTAGGTGCGTGACGTCATTTATGGACGGCCCCCAAGGGAGCATTGACCCTTCGGAATACTATGAAGTAGATATTCTTTGGTTCTTTCGGTAAAGTCACGTATAAAGATAAAATAATACATTTAATAATTGCATACTACGACGTTTCGATTGCAACACAAGCAATCAGCATCAGGTATAAAAGAAATAGCAACAAAAATCTAACCAGAACACTATAGACAGACACACAAGCAGACAGACATCACAAAGACACACACAGAGAGAGAACACGTATCAGCACAAAGAAAGAGGTCGTCTCTGTGACGGGGCCTTAAATATAGAGAGGGGGCGGGGGCGGAGAGAGGGAGTATGCTATTATTTAATTTATTATTTTATCTTTATACGTGACTTTACCGAAAGAACCAAAGAATAATTCCTGCAGTCACGAAAGCTCCAAAATTAAAATATGAAGAAAATCTCAAGCAACCCATTTCTCGTGGATATCAGGGGACCAGTTCCTGTAAGTAACGTTGGGGCTAGCCCACGTGACAGCCTTGTAGGTCAATAGTCTTGGAGATGCACTGGCAAAATCCCTGATCAACCCCAGCAAGGGAGCCTTGACCCTCGGAATCCTAAGAAGAATAAGAATATCAGAAGATCTTAAAGTCCTCATTGCTGGTGGAAATCAATGGATCAAATTTCGATTTAAAGCTTTCGTGACTGCAGGGATTCATCTTCTTGGTTCTTTCGGTAAAGACGGCTGCTTGCGTTGTGGCCGAAACGTCGTGATAATTATTTTATTATATTTTATTTTTATTATTTTATTACTTCCCTTCTACGTGACTTTACCGAAAGAGCCAAGAATATCAATGGATCAGTTCCTGTAAGTAACGTGGGGCTAGCCCATTGTGACAATCCTCGTAAGCCAATAGCGGGGACCTTCTAATCAATTCGATAATCGATTGGCAGCCAAAACAACTACAGGAGAACGGGTGTGACGTCTTCACCGCCGTAGCAATCAATGAACGCGAATCACCCGATATTAATTGGGCACGTGGCCGCAAATTAGGTGAACCGTGCGTTGTGGGAGCGGGGGGGTGGAGACGTTTGGCGTTCCTGGAGAATTACCAGATGAGTCCTGATGAAGATAGACAGATTCGGCGTGGGGGGAGCACCCTCCCCCCTAAGAGGTTATAAGTGGGAGCTCGGAGCCAGAGCAGCCGTCTCTCTGCACACAGAGATATCCCGAGAGAGACAGCAGCACAGAGAGAGGGACAAAAAAAATCTGCACAGCGACAGACATTCGCACAGAGGGAGACACATGCACACAGAGAGAGACATACATCCACAGAGAGACACCCACACACAGAGAGAGAGACACATTCACACAGAGCTACACACAGAGAGACACACACATACACACACAGAGACACACACAGAGACGCACACATACACACACAGAGACACACACAGAGAGACACACATACACACAGAGAGAGACATACATACACACAGAGAGAGACATACATCCACATAGAGAGAGACACACATCCACACAGAGACGCACACACACAGAGACACACATACATCCACAGAGAGACACATCCACACAGACACACACACGCATCCACAGAGACACACATCCACAGAGACATCCACAGAGACAACTGCACGGACCGACAGCCATACCGTAGACACGACCGCAAGGTGGCGACCAGCTCTCGTTCACCTGTTGTAGATAAACTTTCGTCCGCCTCCGTCTCTTTACCTGGTGCACGTGGTCTCCGTGAGGCGGGCATGGCTTGCCACGTGGCCGTGATGATGATGATGTTGATGCTGCCCGGCTTCGTGTCGACCCGCGTGCCAGGTGAGCGAAACGCGCTCATCGGTGTGGGGTGTGCATGGTGGGCACGTGTGTGCATGGTGTGTATGTTACTGGACGGCTTCATAGCTCCATCGGATTCCTCCAGGCTTAAATGATTCTGATGGTGTGAGTGTGGAGTGCCGATGTTGCATCGTGTGTACAACACGTGTGCCATGTTTGTATTGTGTGTGTGTGTCATGTGTGGAACACGTGTGTGCGCCATGCGTTGTTGTGCTCGCACACTGGCACACATAACCGGGTGGGGAGTGGTGGGAGAGCGGTTGCCGCACTGCGGTGCCCGGCGTTCCAAAATCCGCGGCCCTGGCTAGACGGAATATTACAGCAGCAAGTCTTGTC